TCAGTTATGAACAAATGGAGAAAATAAATCTAGAAATAGTCCATACATTTTGAATTGTGCCATTCTGAGCAGTACAAGGAAATCTAGTACTGTCCCACATAGGACGTGAACCATCCCTTTGTCTACCATCTCCACACTGTCTACACTACCTGTTAGTCACTTAGTAGTCGTCTGTTATCAGATCAACTGTCATGCTATGGCAGTGCTTGTAGTCACTAACTCTTATTTTACTTAATAATGACCTCAAAGCTCAAGAATAGTGATGCTGACAATTCCCATATGCCAAAGAGAAGCCATATAGAAGTAGTTCCTTCAAGTGAAATGGTGAAAGGTGCAGTATTAATAAGGAAAAAAAAAAAAGAAAATCATCTCCTGAGGACTAATACTAAGAACAAATCTTCTATCCATAAAATTGTAAAGAAGAAAAAATTAATTTATGCTAGCCTTGCTATGGCACCACAAACTAAAATTTATGGTCACAGTGCATGATAAGTTGTTACTTAAGAAAAAAAGGGCATTACATTTTGGGCAGAAGAATTCTGGTTGGTGGCAATCAGGTTCAAGATTATCCATAATCTCAGTCTTTCCTTGGGGCTCTTAGAATTCATCCCCTAGAGATAAGGGGAACTACTGCACTGAATGTATCTATCATTAGTTACAGAACTCTAAATCACATGAAGAATAGGATAAACAAAATGAATGAAATGACAAATCTGCAATCACAGATTTTACAAGTTCTTTCTTGATCTTGATCATTTAGAGAACAATTGGCCCAAATTCAGTAAGGATAACAAAATGTTGAAAAATACATTAGGCAACATTACTTATTTCATATTTATAAAATACTTCAGCCAACAACATTATTTTAAAATGCACATTAAACATTAGGTAAGACAGCCATAAGCTGGGCTATTAAACATTACCAACAATCAAAAAACTCAAATTATCCATATTATGTGCATGACTATACAGAATTAAAGAAGAAATATATGATATCAGATGTCTGAAAAACATTCAAATGCTAAAATACTAAAAAACACACTTCAAAATAACTGCTTCTCAAAGAAAAAAAAATCACAAAGACAATTAGAAACTATTCCAAACTGAAGGAAATATGAAAATATGCAACAGATGCAGCTACTTCAGTGAACCTGTGGAAATTAAAATACTTTTAAGTGCTTATATCAGAAAAAAGAGAAAAGGATAAAATAAGTGATCCATGCTTTCACATAAAGAGATGAAAATAAGAGAAAACTGAATAAAAATATGTAGAAGATTAAAATTGGAAACCAATAAAATAGAAAAGGAAGACAATAAAGGAAACTTGTTAAGGTGGTAGGATTAATGAAATTGACAATCCTCTAGAAAAATAGGCCAAAAGATAGAGAAACCACAAATGACCAATATGAGGAATAAGAGAGAAAACAATATAGACACATAAAAGATAATGAACAAGTCTATAAGTAAATTTGACAATTTAGATGAAACAAACCAAATGTTTCTAAGATACTATCAATCTACATAAACTCCTTCAGAAAACAGAGCAGGAAGGGACACTTTCTAATTCTTGTTACGAGGCCTATAAAATCTTGACAGAAAATCTGACTATGACATTACAAGTTAAGTCTCTATCCTCATTAACTAAGAAGCAAAAATTATTAATAAAACATTAAAAACAGAATTGAGAATTATATAAAAAGGATAACAAATCACAAGTGAAATTTACTTCAGAAATGCAACTTTGGGTTAGCACTAGAAAAGCAACATAATTACCAAAAACTTAATAAGGAAAAGTATATGATCTTATGAAGAGGCACATATGCAGTTGAAAAACACCAATTTATGATTTTTAAAATGACTTTCATAGATCAGACTTAGATGAGAACTTCCTCAACCTGAAAATTAATGTCCCAGTAAATGACTATACCACCAGTGAAAGCATATTCAGTGGTTTTCTATTTTTATGTGCCTCTCTTGCTTTCTTCTGAATTATTTCTATAATTTTAGTGTTCAAGTTCAATTGGAACATGGTAAAATTTTGTTCCATTATTCTTTGTGGTTTCCCTATGTATCACAATGTACATATCTAACTTTTCACAAGCTACTTAGGATTAAGATAGTACTACCTCATGTAAATCATCTCCATAGAAGTGGTGGTGGTGGCCCTCCAGGGCAGCTGAGGGAATCACCTGGGACCTCCTTGAACACAAAGCACTACCTGTGGACTGCTACCAAGAGGCAAAGAGAAGGATGGACTATTTGGTTCCTTTAATCATGAGCAACTTACAGAATCCAGAGGTAATTTTCTCAAACACTGCAAAAAGCCTATTGGACACTGAAATCCATGGCTTAAGAATCACATGCTGGTATTTTACTCAAAGCACCAACCACAGGCTGATATTTGATGCCACTCAGGCCACATCAGGAAATGTCACAGGGACATTTCAGTCTTCCTCCCTTTTCCCTTAGACATGTAACAAACAGCTGTGGATTAGACAAGTGACAAACAGCTGTGGACTGATACGGCCTGAGACTGGAATTTGGAACCGTTTTGTAAACTATTGAAGGAATGAGCAGATTTGGTTCTATTCCAAATGACTCTATCTGGAAGATACTTTGTTAGGGACTGAATGATTGTGTCCCTTCCATCAAAATCCCTATGTTGAACCCTTATCCTCAATGTTATAGTATTAGGAAGTGGGGCCTTTGGGAGGTAAGTAGGATTAGATGAGGTCATGAGGATAGAGCTGCCATGATGGCATTAGTGTCCTTGTAAAAAAAGGAACAGTCTAGAACTCTCTCTTTCTCTTTACCACATGGAAGATACAGCAAGAAGGTGGCTGTCTGCAAATCAGGAAGAGGGCCTTCTCCAGACACTGAATCAACCAGCTCCTTGATCTTCGACTTTCCAGTCTCTAGAAATGTAAGAAATCAAGTTACACATTAGGACAGATTCAGCTGCAGATGTTTGGGCTTTTGTATCTCTCAGAGCAGTGACACAGTTTCTCCCATAGCCTATTAAGTTATAGCCTGGTAAGTTTTGGTTAGAGTGTATTCCTCAAATGATAGGTGACGTTTTACCTTCAGCACTAATTTGAATTGCTTTCTTTATATAAGGAGTATTTCAATATCTTCTGATGCATAGGATTATTGAGAGCTTATGATGAAGAAGAAACAAAAACCAGTTAACACCTAACATTCTTTCTCTGGTATGGTCTGAGAACACATTTTAAGAATCAAGAGAAGCAGTCTCACAGATCATCACCACAATAACAGGATGGTAACACTGTAATTTAACATTTTCCCAAAAAGCTAATGTAAAAGTTCCAGGCTTCATAATTACCATTTTTACAAAAAACCAAATTTTTACAAATATGGGTATGAAACATATAAGAAAAAACTATGTTTTCTATCAGTGAATAATTAAACATTTACTGTTCTTCCTCTACATGGACATTAAGACCTTAATTATTCACTGTTCAATGCTAATTGGAACCAGACGCCTGATGGCAGCATGGCCATTGGTCACTAACATCCAGACACACAGGTGAACTGGGTCATTGTTCCACAACATTTCTGAAGATGAGAAAATGCAGTCCAAAAAGTACATGACCACAAAGAAAGTCAAGAGCAGCAGAATGGTCAGGGTGGCCCTTTGCTCAGGGATGTTTTTGGAGAAAGGTTGGTGTTGTGAAGATGCTGGGACTGCCTGTTAAGCCTGTACAAGAGAATCACCATGTAGCCATTGGAGAGAGCCATGAGCCCTAAAAGGAAGACATTCTGGAAGGTCAACAGTGAGAAAAATATGTACCTGATCAAGTAACCAGTAGGGCAAAGGGAGCAGGATTCAGTGACAAAACAGAAAACAGCCTAAGGTCACACTGCAATGGCAATAGTTGAGACTATGTAGCGAGTACTAATAGTCACATTGAAGATCCAGAGGAAAATAAAGCCACACAAGTTATGTGAGGGTTTCTGTTTGAACTTTGCCAAAAAGGAGCTCCTGGGGCTGAGGGTGATGGCCTGGAGGACACTCAGCAGGCAGCTGGTGCTAATGGACAGGCCCCTCATCAAGCTGTATAAGTAGATAACATTTGTCATCTCAAATTTCTCGAGACCCCCAAACATCTGTAGCTATGAAGCCCACAGTCAGCAGTATGACTGTGTGGATTAGGGCCAAGTGACTGATGGTCAGGTCGGTAGGCTAGGGCCTGTGCTTAAGAGGAAGGAAGATAAGGATATGCAAGAGAAAGAGGATGACATTGGCTGAGATCCTCAGGCCAAATTCTGAGAAAAAGACAACTCATGACAATAAAACCAGAAAGTTTGCTAAAATTCATCTTATGAGGAAAAGAAACATGTAGTGTCTAAAGAAAAAATAAGAAAAATTACCTTTATAACAAATATCACCAACTTCCCCAATCTCCACCAACTCTATTTTCATTACAAATGCTTTTATCCTGGTTGGGGGACTGAAGGATTCTGAGAAGAAGACTCCATGAAACACCAGAGGACATGCTCACATTCTGGCAAAGAGAGAACTGTATGCCTCTGCCTCCCAGAAGGTGGCTGGACCACTGGCTTGAGCACACTGGTGGGTAAATATGATGGACATGATCATCTGGCTCAATTCCACACACACACCAAAACAGAAAGGGATCCATTTTGGGACACCATTCGGGACCAGATCCTAGGAAAGCCATCTGAAGAAATCAAAGCATGTCATAGGCCAAAGCCAATTCTTCTTCACACTGGAGAGCTATCAAAACTTCATCCCTGGCATCCAGATATCACTGATGTTCAGATCATTACTCTGGGGTCCCTGACCATACCTGTAATATCTGGGGAGCTTATGACCATGTCTGGATGAAGACTTTGCAAGGCAGTTCAAGCAGAATTTGCATCTTATGGGATGCAGAATATGACTGTTGTTATTTTAGGTCTATGCAACGTCTATACTCATTACATTATAACCTATGAAGAATACCAGGCTCAAGGATATGAGGCTGCATCAACAATTTATGGACCACATGGTCTGTCCACTTACTTGCAGCTCTTCAGAGGCCTTGCTAAGACCATTGCTACAGACACAGTAGCCAACCTGAGCAGAGGTCAAGAGCCTCCATTTTTCAAATGACTAATAATTCCATTAATTCTTAATACTGTGGATAGAGCATCAATAGACAGAACATTTGGGGATGTCCTGCAGCCAGCAGAACCCACATACGAAGTAGGAGAAGTTGCTGAAGTTACATCTGTAGGTGCTAACCTGAAAAATTCAGCAGAAAACCAGACTCAGCAGACTCTCAGCCCATTTCTTTAACTCCCTTCCTCACTGGGGAGAAATATGAGGCCACTTCAGCCTCATGGCAGATAGTGTGTAATAATGCCTCCTGGGAGACATGTTTTTATTGGCACAAGGGATTATTGGGTCAGAGCAATGGAACGATAGAATGGCATATTCCAGACACTGCCCAGCCTAGAATCTACAGAATAAAATATTTTGACACAATAGGAAGCAGGATATTTGGAAGTCTACTATCATGCTTTCATCTGAAGGCACATCTACTGTTGTAACCACTTAGTGAAAAGTTGACAAATCATTCAAAGAGCAGCTTTACTCTGTATGTATTATATAAGTGATTTCACATGAATGTGAACTTATAGCCATCCTTGTTGACCTTTATAATTGTCCCTGACAATTTACTGCTAATGGGAGAGAGAGGTTTGCCTCATGTATCTTGTTCTAGCAGCCATGTACCTTGTGGTCTTTGGGTTGTTTAAGGGACAGTTTTTTCTTTTTTTGCAGTTTTTGGCCGGGGCTGGGTTTGAACTGGCCACCTCCGGTATATGGGGCTGGTAGCCCACTCCTTGAGCCACAGGACAGTTTCTTCAAAATAGAACCTCTGAAATATTAGTAAAAGTGGTTGAAGATATATGAATGATGTTTAACATATTTATTTATAAAATTACTGAATGTCAGCACTGGAAGAGTTTATAGGACTCTACTTTGATTCTTCATCTTACAGATGGAAAATAGGAGGTTTCCTGGATTTAAGATTAGAATAAATTACAGGACCTTCCCCCTCAATCATATTTACAAAATATCACATAAACCTCCAGCATGAATGAATAAACCTAATTAGAGAAACAGAAAATTAGCATGTCAATTTCTCTACATTCAAATGAGCATAGCCTATTGAGTCAGTCACCCTCGAACTGACATGCCTCATCCAGAGTTGATGCTCAAATCATTTCTAGAATTGCCATCAGAGCCCAATTATGAGAAAGTCAGAATTATAATGCTTTGATCATGCCTTCTGTTTTCCTAAGTGTCCTTATCCCAAAGGTTGTGTCTCTTATTCCCAAGACTTATTCTAAATAATTTTTGACCGTTTTCGTTAATCCAGTTCACCCCAAACCATACATTTTTGCCATTAGCATAAATATTAAAATGAAAATGTTTCTGGGTGGGAAGGCAATCCTTAAAAGGGAGGTTGTATATTAATTTCTTGTTCTTCTATCACTCACTCATTCATTCACAGACCCATTCAATCACAGAATGTTTATTAAGACTTACTCATATGCCCTGTACTTTATTAGGACCTAGGCCTTGACAAGTAGTGAGATCATATTTGGGATGGATATGTAAGTGTTGAAAGGTTACTGAAGGAGAAAATATTCAATTTGATATCAAAATTCCTGAAAAGCATTTAAAAATCAGTTATAACTGTTTCTACTATTTCTATTACTATCTTTTGGTCACAATTTGGGTATCACTTGTGTTAGATACTCTAATTTGGGGGGAAAGAGACTACAGATAATTTGATAAATACTGTTTTGAAAGTTATTTTTGAGCACTATGAAATACCCAGCTTAATGTCCCAAAGAACGAGGTATGACAATCTGACATCAATTGTTTGAAAGTACTAATTACATCAAAAATTATTTAAGTGCACTAGGTAGGAGCTCCCAGATTGCAAAGTAAATTTCCAAACTCCAAGTCGTATCTTTGTATGTATGTAAAAGCTTTGAAATTTTAGGGGAAAAATCAATCTTTATTTCAAAAATAAACTTTAAGGTTTGCAAATATGAATAATATTAATTATGATAATCTTAACAACCATTTACATATGGCTTAATATCTTAAACATAATGTATTGAATTAGAATGAACCTGGAACACTTTTTGATGAACTGGTATTATAGAGGTTGTTTCTATGGAAGCTAATTGCTGGAGAATTAGCTAATCAGGATCTCCAAAGGTTTGTGATCATTTTTCCTAATGACATCACAGTCTTTAGTGTAAAAGTTTCAGAATCTGAAAAGTAAAGTGATTCTGAAAGTAACTGATCCCAGACAAAAAAATGATATTCAAAACTATGATGTAGTTTTTAAAAGAGTATTTCTCATTATACAATATGTAAGTGTACAGCTATTTCTGTATCAATATTTTCTTAGAAAGTATATTCTAGAGAACATGAACATTTCATGAGAACAAGCTAAAAGGACTCCCCCAGCATGCCTTCTCCCACCCGGCTGCATCACGCTCACACCTGACTAGCACAGCACAGTGTAGGGAACAGCAACAGAACAGAAATTCTCTGCTGTCAGCAGGATGAGCTAAAAGACTCTCCTCTTAGGGGTGGCGGATGCTAAGGTAGCACCCAGCTAGCCTGATATACTGAGCACAAAAGTCACATTTTACACACTGCCCTAATAGAAACTTGGCATTATAATTATGATTACATAAACTCTGGTAAAATAACATGGAGGAAACTTCCACAATAGGTTACAGACAGGCCACATTGTAAAAGATGGAGGAAAGGCTAAATGGGAAGTTTGGGGAAAAACAAATACAGGGAATAAGATGTGTCAAAGAGGAATCTGTGCTTTCACTTTGAAAAGTCACCATTAGGAGTTCTCATAACTGAATGTGAAGGCTGGGGTACCCTTAGAAGGAATGAAGCCCAGGTAAGATTCCCATTACAACTCAGATGAAGGAAAAAATCACATCACCTATCTTGCCATTACTGAATTCATGGGATACACACTACCATCACACAGGCCACAAACTAGGTTACATAACTTAGTCAGTGGACAGGAGGGCAGTGGAGTGTGCAGTGGAAGGAGGAAACCCCTCAGCCAACCCCAGTGCAAGCTCTGGCACTGTACCCTGTAGGTAGACAGATTACAAGGTGAAAGGAGGGCCTATCTGTTTACTACTCAATCGTGCATGCCTCTCGTGTGAATACTATGATTTATTGTCTAGCCTTAGATAGATGACTTTGATTTGTCATTATGATATATGTCAACCTTACCTTTATTACCATTACTATCATCATCATCTATAAATTAGAATAAAAAGAAACAAAGAGTATCTGGGAGGTGGGACCAATAATGCATCGTATCAGTGTATTTAGAGTCATGGTGTACTGGTCAACATGCTCTGCCTTGTGCCACAATTCTGGCTGTAAAACTATGACAAGCACAATGTAGAAATACTTGGCACGGTCAAGAAAAGCAAAAGCACTACCAACTGGACTTCAGTGCTAAGTAAATATACAGTGCTAAGAATACTGTGAAGTATGTGAACTCCAGGAGAAGAAAGAAGAACTTGCAGGATATTTAGGTAAACTAATGACAACTACTTTTAAAGAATATGGGTAAGGATTATTGTTCTGTTTTTCAAATTGGAAGAATTGTAAAGATCAGGGTGTAGCAGATTTATAGTGTTAATATTTTTAAATCTATCTTGATAAAAATCAGGAGAAAGAAAGTATTAATCTACAATAAAAAACAAACAAAAATGCCCATGCAATCCCAGAGGTGCATCATGACAGACACTAAGGTGGCATTACCGGGAGATTCCAACAGTCATAGAAGAGAAGAAGTTAAGCGTAATGTTTGCATTACAGCTTTGCTTTTTGTTACAGATCAGTATGTCTCAAAAATATAGATGCAAAACCTATCAAAAAATATTAGCAAATTGAATCAAACAATGTATAAAAAGATTTATAGACCAATACCAATTGGGATTTATTCCAGGTATACAAAGCTGGCCAACATTTGAAAATCAATTAACATAATCCATATCAATATCCTAATAAAAATCATGTAATTATAGACAGATATGCAGAAAAGGCATTTGACAAAATATAACAATTCATAATAAAAACAAAATCTTAGGAATAAGGAAGTACTTCCTCAACTTGATAAAGAACACCTATAAAATTATAGCTAACATCATTGTCAATGAGGACAAACTAGATGCCTTCCCCCTAAGATCAGCAATAAGATAAGATGCCACCCTCACCATTTCTATTCAACATCAAACTAGAAAGTCCTACTTAAAGCAAGAACATGAGATAACAAAGACAGGAGAAGAAAACAAAAAGGTCTACATATTAGAAAGGAAGAAATAAAACTTTCTTAAGAAGCTAAATATATAAGATCTTATTATAAGATCCAGCAATAACATTAGAGAATTAAGCATGTATTAGGGACTCCAGAAATACATCGCCTTTCTTACACTCTGCTACACCTTCAGGGTGTGCTCAGATCAATCCCCAAGGAGGGGCACTCCATCTTCCAGGATAGCTTATTGCATTTTCTCCTAAATTAAAAATATTAAGTGTAGAAACAAGTCATTTTATGTCTTTACCAAGTGATTTAGGGCTCTTCCAGCTTCATCCTAGCTAGTTCTTCTTTTCACATTGAACTCAGTCTTCCAATACAGGCTCTGGAAGGTACTAGCTTTGATTGGGGTAACTGGCTTTCTTCTATGTGGAGAAGAGTGAGGTAACAGGCTTACACTTTCAGGGAAGCTCAGTTCCTAATCTTTATCCTGACTTGACCTCTTGGTACCACTTGGCTCAGAAGGCATTACAAATATTGCTGGACTTCTATGCAGTTGGCCATTGATTCAATACTCCATTCTCAAGATCTGACACTGATTCCTATTCTTGCCCTGAATTTTGACCATCTCCCCAAATCAATCAAATCTTATGCATCTCTTCATTATTATCTATATACCAAATTCTACCAATAACCTCTTCTTCAATCTAGACATGTGGCTGAATCTCTCTGGACCTCATGATCTTTAAGCCCTGGAAGACTCTGGGGATAGGGATGTAGATAGTATTTTCTAGCAAATGCTAATGATGGAACTATGAGATCTTCTTAAAAATGGCAGGATCTTCTATGTGACCAGATTCTTCCTAGTCAGACACACCTAATACTTCCAGGAAATCCTCCTTCTAAGAGAAGTGTTAATAGACCTTGAACTTATTTTCTCAGGGGCTTCTGTGAACTTTTCTTTCTCATCCTTTCAAAGCTGGGCCTCTCTCATCCATGGGAAAGTAGAGACATCCCCCAAATCACTTTCAGGCACTGATATGGAATTTCTAAAGCAACAACTATCTACTTGTTTTCAGTGGTCCAGAAAAATAACTAGTGCTATTGATCTTGATGGTATTAAGTTTGGATACCTCCTTAGATAAGATACTATATGAAAATGACACCTTGATCAGTTGCAGTCTGAATCAAAGAAACAGCCCAATGTAAGCAAGGAGCAGCATCAGCCC